TATTCTTTTAGTGTTTAATCTCCTCAGTGCCCATTTCCCCCTGTGCAAACTGGCCTCAGTGCTCAAACCATAAGTTCCCATTCTCACCAGGATTCAGGTTCCTTGTCTCACCAGAACTCACTCTGCCTATTGCCCATTCTTACCAGTGCCTATTCTCCCCAGAACCATCTCTCCACCATAATTTCTCTCCCCAGCACCTATTTTTCATAGTATTCCTTCTTCCTGGTACCCACTATCCCCAAAGCTCAATCTCTCTACCACACAGACACTCATAAACAGACAGACAAGCAGACCCCCCCACACTTTAGCCAAAAATAAAAATGAAATCATATGGTTTTTTTAGCATAGTAATAATCCTAACTCAAATGCAGAATGATAAATATAACATTTTTCTCTCAGATACAGAACCTAGGGTTTTCTTTTGATACCATAAGAATAGAAGAATGTTTGCTTTGGAAAAGAAATGGGGCCAGTGATGGGGACAAGAGGAGATGAAGATGAATGACTTGTTCATAACAGTTTTACATAATTAATATATTCTCACAAAATAAATTTAAAGAGAAGATTGGAACAACTATGTAAGAGGATTGCACCAAATTTGAATACGGGCACTTGAAATGTGTTCATTAAAACAACTTTTAATATACCTAAATATTATTTCCATGCCAAAAAGATCTTTAGGGGGAATAATAAATGGCATGTTGAACAGTCCTGCATGATAATTTCCCCATCGCAGAACACTGTATGATCAAGGTCACAGAGTAACAGGGAATGGAAACAATCACACCGAGAGCATTTACCTTCCAGACCCTGTGGTAGTCACTGTGTTAAAAAAAAAAAGTAAAGCCTGAGTTAGTATGTGTATATATTATGTTTTATCATTTGGTTGAGAAGTTCAGTAGAATAACATTAATGTATTAGACAAAAAGTTCTAACACAGCCCAATTTTAAAAAAATAATTTAGAATTCACAAAAGAGTCTTGAGGTGATTGGTTGCCAAAGGTGAAATCCTCAGCACGTGTACTTTCTACTTGGTATAAAGGCAGTGTGCTATGCCTGTGGTTTAGGCTCTGGCCCTACGAGGGTTACATTTTGCTTACACTGTAGGTAGAAGCCACTCTGTGACAGGATCCTTTGCATATTTTTCCCTGTGATGGATCACTTTAAATTCATCAGTACCACAGACAATTAACAAGGCAAATATCCTACAGATCTCAGGTCACGACCATTGTTGGTATGCACGGAAAAGCAAGCATAAATGAAAACCAATATTCCCCTTCCTTAGCTATTCTAATTCATCACCTGGTTTATCTTGTGAAGTACTCATGCTTTGAGTTAAAAAAAAAAAAAGAAAATAGTAAAAGCCTACTTACAACAAAATAAATTACCCTTTGATATCCAGTTCAGTAGCTTAGTGTTTGAGAAAAACAGAATCCACAAAGCTTTGATATATTCCAGATTTGACAAACTGTGACCTATTTATCAAAGCAGAAAATCCACCGCAGGCTTTGCATTCTTTTTTTCTTTTTCTTTTTTTTTTTTTTTTGTAATTTCAGAAGCGGATAAATCATACTTAGCAACCAAATAGAACTGACTGCCTCTTGGCTGACTGATGGGAAAAGTAGGAGGAGGAAAAAAAAAAGGAAAATTTAGGAACATTGACTCAAAAAGTTGTTCCCAAGATACAAATATGCAGAATTTTAAGTATTTCCCAGGAATATCAAAATACAGGAACCATTTGCTGAATATATGCGAATAATCACGGTAGCTCTCCTCGACTCTTTGAATACCGTGTACAGTTTATAGAAGCCACAAGTCATACCTGTGTTTTCTTCACAAAAAAAACTTCTGAGATTTGGGGTTAGAATTTTAAACATAGTAGAGGAAGAATAAGCAACATTATAAAAATTCATGCACACTCTGGCTATGTATTTTTCATCACAGTGGTAGTATGTTTTCCTTTATTGATTTAATATCCTCTCTTTCACTAGACTAAATACCGTAATGAAGAAAGAGTGCTGGAGCTCTTCTGTAATTCCTCATAAAAGAGAAACACTGTAATGACAAAGTACTTCATGTATCAAATAAGATAATGAAGTATTTTCTAAGTTTTTACCCCAAATAAATTTGAGGCATCAGAACTCTTTAAAGTGACATAAATGTCACATAATACATATTTGTATCAAAATGGCATTAACTAATTAACATATAAAATTTGTTTTATATATTAATAACATATAACGTAATTTAAATAAAAGCAAAATTATGAAATATAAATGAAAAGCACTGATACCTTACTGCATGTTTCAGTGTAGAATTTTAGTGCCTCAGTGTAAAATGAACTAAAATCATACGTTTACATAAAGTTTCAGATACCATTTTCTATTCATGTTTAAAATAAGAGCAACATACTCCCTGAAGATTCTAAAGTTTCCAGAGTCCGGTGAAGAAGTTACATAAAAGAAAATTCCCTCACACAACAAATATCAAAACAAATTGATAAATAAATATGAGTTGTATAAGATGTATTATAAGGACTGTCGTAATACATGTTACTTCATTAGAAATTCCTGCTTATGCCAGTTATATCAATAAACTAGAAGGATCACAGAATCATGTCTTTGCTCAACCACTTCTCACATATTATAGTAATTCGGACATTAAGCCAAAATAAAATTTGGACAAAAAAAGTTTCCTGACAATGTGAGTGTTACATCATTTTTAGAAAAAAAAAAAGTAGAGCTGTATAGCTATGTGGAAAGATTTAAAATAAGTTCCCTGATTCACTGACAGTCACTGTAATGGCCTGATAGTTTCCTTCCACAATGTTACAGGTTAAATTAAAACAAAACAAAATAAAACAAAACTGGGGATAGCCTTTGAGACCCTTGAAAATCGCCTTCCAGCTTGAGCCACAAGAGCAGACATGACCAATGACAGGGCCCAGCAGTTCCATTCATTTCTTTTATTGAGCACATGCACACTCTCTGATGCTCTGTGGGGAGACTGGAATAGATTTTGATTCTCTAGACTGAAGACATGGAGCCTTTGATATCACTGGGTGGCTTGCCTGGCTTCCTCATCCCCGGCCCTCCTCTCTCAGCTGGTGCCGTGCTGTCAGAAGCATGTCAGACTGGCATGCAGTGGATCTGCACAGCGAGCTGAATTCCCCTTACGGCTCTCATTGCCATTCATTTTGGGAAAACGTCCCAATCCTGTGGCTCATCTTCAAATATGTAAAGTGAGGCAGTGTTGGCATAACAGCCTCAAGTACATGAGCATCCTGAACTGCTTTAATTATCTCATTAATATTCAACAGCATCATTTCCATTTCTGTAGCCACTGCCCTAGTTCAAGCAAACATTAATTTGTATCTAATAAAGTGTTATTAATGCTGTAGAATCTTTAAAAGTGCTTTTGATAAACAAACACTTAGATTATTACAACACCCTTTTAACTTCTCTCACTCAACATTCCTATATTTTATATCTAACTGCCAGAAAGAGAAATCTCCTGATTTTATTACCATACGTGTTTTTCCTGTTTATTATGTAACAATCAAGACTACTTGTGCCTAAAGTGACATTTTTTAACCAAGCCCCTATGTTTTCAGTTCTTCTGTCTAGATTGTCTTTTCTTACTTCACCATGTCTCTATATCTTAACTAGTATACCTAAATATTTTTATGACTACCACATAAAATACATTTATAATATCAAAGATGCATGTTTGAAGAACTTCCAAAATCAGCACATGCTAGTGCATGGATAAACACAACAAATGCTCATGCTTGGTGTCTTGGACAGAATGAAAGGTGTGTGGGGGGGAAGTGGAAGAATTCAAGTGCCTGAACCTCTGCTTGATTTTATTTTACTATATTAATACCATATCATCTGGACAGAAAGGGTTCGATATCTATACAGAATATAACTCTTCTTGAGGAAACAGAATAGTGGAGTTGCTAACCAAGGGCAAACTAGTTCAACTGTATGGTTTAGTTGTTCAAGAAGGGACTCCAAGGGGTCTCACAACTTTGTTGTAGAGAACATAAATGATATTGAACTGTGTCTTGGCCTAATAATTCACATTGAAAATGAGAAAATGAAGATACTCTTCAACTGATGCTCTCAAAGTATTTGAGAAATTTGGAGCCATAGCACTGCCCAATGAGACAAGGACTAATATTAAATTTAGAAACCTTCATCAGGGACTGGGGAGATGGCTCAGTAGGCAGAGTGCCTCCCATGGAGCATGAGGACCTGCCTTCAGATCCCCAACATCCACATAAAAGGCTGGATATAGTAACTTCGTCCTGGGGAGGTAGGGTGGGGAATCCTTGAGGCTTGGTAGCCACCAACCTTATTTAATTGGTGAGCTCTAGGTTCAGTGAGAGAGAGACCCTGTGTCAAAAACTAAGGTGGAAAGTGACTGAGGACCTGGCACCCACCTCTGGGCTTCAAATCTATGTGTGCACATGTACACTTACAATCACAAGGAGTGCACCTCAGACACAGCTGTACACACAGAGACATACAGAAAAACAGAGACATAAACACATGCAAAAGAAAAAAATTCACTGAACACTTGTTCTGTCAAAGGCTTTAGTACTTTTTTTTTTTCCTTCAGTGAGCCCATTCAAAAGCCCTGACATACACTTTCTGTGTCGCTGCAGAGCTGCTATTTGAATCCCACCACCTTTGGCCTCAAGAGTCTACAACAGCAGCTGCAACTTTCCACACAGGGTCCCCAATGACTGAGAAACCCTGCTGAGCAGCCCTACTGTGGTGTGAACTCTATGAGAGGACCTCGGCAACTTACAGGCTCAGACACAGACAAGGTCCAGAGCTGAATACTTGCTCTTCCCGCTCATCACCCACTGTGACACCTGTCCCCAAAACCTCCAATTTCTTCCAGAATATACCCTTCATTGAATCACATGCCTCAAGCAGTCTCTTATGTGGATTAACACCGCCACTGACATTTCTAAAATCATGTTTTATTAATTTCATTTGTATATTCAATTAGCATTTCTACAAAATGAAAAGAAAAAGCCTTTTATTTAACGATCTCAACAATTTGATTGCTTTTTATAATGCCAGGGGTTGCATTGCTCCTTTATATATTTTTATTATCTATCCCCAAAACACTGAAATCTACATGGCCCCTAAACCACAACTTGTATTTAACTATTCTCTTACAGATTTGAGCTTTATCACCTTTTCGTTATTTTGTACTCCGAAAGTGCTTTATTTCAAGTTAGTTGTATCAGCGACCACACACTATGAATTTCCCTCGATTTCCTCAGCAGTGTGTTGTCTCCATTAGCAAATTGCATTTAGAAATTTCCTTCTAATCCAGCAGTTCAAGCTACAAGGGGCTCTGTCCTCAGTTCTCCCTGGGCTTCTGGCAGTATCTGCAAACAGAAAACAGTTTTGTTCATCATAACTGAAGAAGTGACAGCTCTCCAGTCCTAGGAAGGATTTTATCTGATTGTTTATAGTTTTGCTAATGAGGAACCCTAACACAACGCAAATAATTTCTTTATTTTAATCCTTTTACTTGATGGTGGTGTTGATGTATGTGGTGTGTGCATATATATGTGTGTTCATGTGCTTATGACTGTGGTGTGTGTATATGTGAATATGCTGTGGTATGCATAGTTTGTGTTGTATGTTGTATGTATAGTGTGAGATTCTTGAATGTATACCATTAGAATATGATGATTTTCTATATGATTTTATTATCTCCAAAACCTAGCACAATTTTACAATGTAAAATTACATAGATTATCTTAGTCATAATTTAACAAAGACTAAACATGCAGGAAGAAATTACTTACCAATAATACTGTGTCATATCCAACATATATTTTCTTTGATGAATTGAATATGTCAGCTGCCGTTTGAATATTTCAGTAATGAAAATCTGTATTGTTCTGGTATAGAAAAAATATTATAAGTCAATTCACATTTGTCATCAGTGGGAAGAAAACACACTTTAATAATAGATGAAAAATTGATCTTGGCAGATATGTGTTTACTAGTTTTTCTCATGATAAGTTTGTTAGGTTTTTATTTTACACCAAGGTACAGTTAACTCTTCCTTGTAAAAGTCTCTGTGGTCTGCTGCTGTGGTGTTGATTAAATCAATTCCAGTTTGTTTGGGTTTTCTAAGAATGGAGCACCTAGTTGTTGGGCAAAATAAAGCACAGAGTTTTTTTGCAAATTTGTCAAAAATATTTAAAAATTACTGCTGTTGGAATGTATAAACCACTTTAAAGTTCCTTGTGAAATGAACAGTTGTGTTTTGCCTATTAATGAAATATCAATTTTACATAATATCCAATAGTTTCCATGTAAGGAGAAAATGAATGGGTCTTGTAGTCTCTTGTTTTAGAAGACAATATTCAAATTATTTTGCTTGCCATGTAATGTTCTCCCAAACCAGACCTTACTTATGTTTTTAGGCAAATCTTGCACATATTGAATGGCTTATTTTATTCAAATTCCCTTGAGAACATCTCTCATTTTCTCCATGTGATATTTGTTTCTATACCCATAGTCTTCTGACTACAGTTTGAAATTACATCGTGAACTCTCTTTTGATTTCCTCTTAACCTAACTTCCTCTTCCTAACCTGTCCATCTGATCTGCTATATCCTCCCATAGCTCAGCTCATCTCCTAGTTTACCCCCCCATCTAAAACACTGTAACATTTTCCTCTTAACTAATTTATATGACCATCACTTATTCTTACCTCTGTGCATTTTAATCATTATTTTTCCTCCAGATTCTAGAGTCCAGGAGGTGGGGACCTGCTTTACAGACATCTGCGATCCACACTTATCCTCCAGTATGATGTCCTGCACATGGTATTTATGACTCAGCTGAATGAAGGTCAGATGTGTCATAGTTTTACCTTAGGATCAGAAAATAGTGCGACAGCTTAATTATAAAGCATGACATAATATCATTAGTTAATTAATAAGTGTAGAAAAACACACATAGGGAATCATGCTAATAACTACCAAATAACATGACCATAATATGTTATATATGTGATAGCCAAGGTAAAGTGTTGATTTTGCTTGAATATGTATTTGAACAAATTATAAAGGGTCATATTTGGTGTAACTGGAGAAATATGTATACGAATATATAAATGATAACATTAAGAACCTATGGTATCAGAAAGGGGTGCATAAAATATCAAAAGTGGTCCTTATCAGAGGTAAATACATAATCATTTTTAAATTATAGGACAATTTTTGCTTTAAATATTACAAAAAATCATTAGGGAATAAATCAGTGTAAACATTGAACAAAACATCGTTCATCACTGGCACAGTGAGGGTGATATGCCATTCCTTGTACCATAGCCAAAACAGTTACATGTTGTAATCACTTTAGAGACTTTTCTGTTAGTCTTTTTACTTCTAAACTTTTCTCTCTTCACCATTCAGCATGGGTAACTTCCATCTTAGACTTCCTGAGAAAGTGAACACCCACTGAAGTCCCCTATATTCATTAGTTTATTAACACCTACTAAGTAAAATTCATTGTTACTCTCTTAACATCCAAGAACTCAGATGCCTATAGTGTCTACATTTTGAGACTTAATTTAAACATTAAGTCAATTGAAATAGCTGCATTTCCCTGAAATACTCCAACCGTTAGGATCACTCTTCTTTGCTTCAAGATGTTCTTAACTTTTTTACACAAGATACCCTCCGGTTTTCCCTTTCATCCCCTTAAGTGTTGTGGATTATTAATTGAAGATGTGTTACATTTGTTTATCTTTTGGAACATTTCCTTACTGATGCAAAGATGTATTGCATTCTTTTATGTTGCATTTGCTTAACTCTGTGAAGTTGTGTTGCTTTGCCTGTCTAAAACACCTGATTGGCCTGATAAAGAGCTGAATGGCTACTTAGGGAGGAGAAAGGTTAGGTTGGGCTGGCAGGCAGAATCAATAGGAGGAGAAATCTGGAGGGAGAAGATCGAGGAAAGAGAAATGGAGAGAGGATATCAGGGGTCAGTTACCAGCTACACAGCAAGCCACAGAGCAAGAAATAAAGAAAGACATAAAGAAATAAAGGTAAAAGCCCAGAGGCAAAAGATAAATAGGATAATTAAAGAAAAGCTGGCTAGAAATAAGTCAAACTAAGACTAGGCATTCATAAGTAATAATGTGTCTCTGTGTCTTAATTTGGGACCTGGATGGTGGGCCCCCAAAAGAGCAGAGAATAAAATACAACCAACAATACCTAAGCATAAAGCATTTCCTTGTCTGACAGAAGGAACCTGTCTCTCTCTGAGGTGCCCATACACCCTGTCTGTGCTTTCCTAGGATATGGCTTTGTCATATGTTTTGATGCAGTATGACCTTCACCCCTGGGGTCAAGCATAACCTCTCTGAGAAGAGGATTTACCTTGAATCTCTGACACAGATCTGTATGCAGGATATATTTAACAAATACTGGTTAACAGGTGGGTGGAAGAATACTAATAGTCGTAAGCAATGATACATTGAGATTTAAGAAAAAGCAGTGTCCTCAAAAATATAAAACCATGACTTTAAAAATTAGTAGTGAAATGACTGTCATTATTGTAAAGTACCAGGCATTGGGACAAGTACAATATTTTTACTGCCACATTTTCTCCTCCTCCTCTTCCTCCTCTTCTTCCTCCTCCTCCTCCTCCTCCTCCTCTCCTTCTTCTTCTTCTTCTTCTTCTTCTTCTTCTTCTTCTTCTTCTTCTTCTTCTTCTTCTTCTTCTTTTGATACAGGGTTTCTCTGTAGCTTTGGAGCCTGTCCTGGAACTAGTTCTTATAGTCCAGGTTAGCCTCAAACTCACAGAGATCCTCCTGCCTCTGCCTCCTAAGTGCTGGGATTAAAGGCATGTGCCACCACTGCCCAGCTCTCATTGACTCTTCTTAGTCCTGTAATTTTATAGACGAGGAACAAGACTTGGCCATATTAGGTTACTTCCATGCATAGAGTTCATCTGAGTTCAAATCTAAGTCTGCTTGAAGTCAGCATTTATAACTTCTTCTATTTTATTTCATTTTATTTTATTTTTTGCTGTGTATGAGAAGCTCGAGTTCTGAGGCTATAACTAAAGAGCTGTTCAGAAGAATAAGCAGAATGTAAACAGATGGCATTGCCCTTCCTCTCCCCACATCAGCAACTAGTTACTTTTTAATTGGTTTTATGCAATGATTTAATGTGTGTGGGGTTTTTTTTGCCCTGAATAAAGAGATGTAACATAACTTTCATATTTGCCATTATTTTCCATTGTATTTTACATAAGGACTCCATGTATTTTAAATTGTTTCACTGAATGCATGATTACACCCCTCCGATGAAATGATCATGAGTTATTTTAATCTGAAAACTAGAAATTGCGAGTTGTGCCCTAACACAGGCATGTGCCCATGGGCCTATTAGTCAACATGCTGTGGCACAAACCCATTTCTGTAATTGCTCTCAGAACCAATTTCAAATTACATAAGAAAATTAATGTCTTTGCTCAATAGTTTCAGCTCCCACTCGCTTTGAACAGTTTTGTTTCCAGAAAAAAAAAATCATCCCTGGAAAGATGAGATAATTGTGAGAATACTTAAAATGTGATTCCTCTAAATCAACTCCAAAATTGTGTTGTTGAAGGTATTGGGGGGAATACATGGCTCCCTAAGGTGGCCATTTAAGGGAACCACTTTGAATATGCAAATCATGCTATTAATGTGTGCATATGTCTGCATACATTCTCTGATGTGTCTATATGTACACATGTGTAAGCATAGGTTGGTATGGATCTATATTTCCATTGTTAATATGCTAAATATCATTAATTTTTTATTAGACATGTCAAAAAATTTGGAAAAATTCTTCTCTTGAGAGGAATGGTAGCAGTGTCTGTGTGAAGGGTCCAGGGAGCTTGGGTGTAGACAGGTGGATTCCTTAAGAATATTCAGATAAGTAAAGTATTCTCTGGACTGCTAGAGGCATGGCATGCGTCTATGTTCAGAGCGGGAGACTTGTGAAGCATGATAACCTATTAAAGTATTATGGCATACTTTCAAATTACCATGAGTGGCAGCTCCCTTATGTATAAAACAGAGATAATCTAATACCAATTAATAATTGAGAAATCAGCAATGTACAATATGCTTAGAAAGATGCTTGTCTTATCACCATTGTGGTCTTGGCCAGGCCAATTCCAGAAGCCCAGTGGAATATTAATATTCATATAGCTATAATCTCCCCTTTAGTAGTTACAGAAATGCTACATAACTGGGCACCTGGTGCTGTATGGTGCTTTCCCAGTCATGAACTCTACATAAGGCATGGGATTACCAAGTAGTTTAAAGCAGACAGCATCCAGAGCCTTTCTTCCCAGATACGGAGGGATGGGTGTGTGTCCTTGGAGGAGAAGAGGAAGGTAGGGAAGGAGAATGTCTGGTAATTATGAGGAAATACTACAGAACATATTGCCAATTGCCCTTGTTTTTATTCTTTCTGAACGTGAACATCTGGTATGTAACCTAAATTGTCTCTGCTCTCACAATCCTCTGGTATCAGCCTCCACAATTGTAGGATTAAAGATATGTATCACTGTGCAAGACTGGTTTGTTGACTATAAAAGGCCACCACTCTGTTTTTATTAACTTGTAAAGTGATGAAAATACAGAGTTTTGACCGGCTTTTTGTAATGTTTAGAAAAAAAATCCTGATGATACATGACACCCAAAGCATCATCTTCATCTGCCAGGAAAGAACTTCAGCCCCAAAGCAATGTGGGAAGTTCATCACATTATTTATTTATTTATTTATTTATTTATTTAATTTATTTATTTATTGCACATATGAGTTGATTTTAGTTCTTAGGAAAGAAGAGCTAGAATAGAAACACACATGATGCATATTTAAGTATTTATTTATTACATCAACTTTTAGGCTTCTAAAGGTATAATACTATTATTGAGAAATAATCATGAAACTATTCTGTAAGTGGTAAATCATTATAAAAATGACAATATTTTCATTGATTAATTTGTATGAGAGAATTTTGCTATATAGGCTTAAAATTTTGCTGGAGAGAAGGCAGGGAGGGCAATACAGAGAAAGAGGGAAAAGCAAAAAACATTAATGGTGATTGAAAAGACCACAAGAAAATATCATTTTATGCTTATTTAAAAATTAATGTACATACTATGTACATATATACATACAACTAGATATCTCTCTATATACGTATATAGTGTGTGTTAATATATATGCATGTATACATATACATATATATAGTTAAACCACTTGGGTTAATAAATACCCCTTATAAGTGCCATAGATTATTTGACACAACTCCCAGTGCCATAGGAAACCTCTTTTCTAGTTCTTGGCTAAAGAAATAAAAAGACTCTCTAAATACTATAGGCTATATCTATTGTCCTTGGTTATCACTCATAAACTGAAAGTAAGACACTCTCACTAAAAACTTGGAGGAATCAAGTTGGAACTGACCTGGAAGTCTACTCCCTGAGCACTAGCTCGCCTAGTATCTAAAGGTGCTCTACAGGCTTCCTAGAGAAAAATTAAAACATCACTCTCCTACCCAGCTGTAAAACCCATGAGCCACAACATGCCCAGCATGGCACAAAAGTGCTTGTATCATGGTGGCCTCCAACATCTAGTTAGTCAGTTGTAGGACCAGATAAGTAGAAGTGAATCCATGTCTGGTGCTATAAACCTAGCCAAACTAACCATGGCTGATGATGTCACAGACCTTAGAGGAAAATTTGCAGCTGCCTAAACCAGTATATGTAGCACCATTAATAAAAACCCAGAGACAGAAATTGGGGTTCAGTCTGAAGGTTAGAAAAGCACAACAGCCATTGACTCTTACCTCTACCTCAGTCTG